GTGCTTGCATACACGCATATGAACATACATACACACATGCATGCATGTGCATACATATAAACATGCATATGAATACATACACATGCATACACATACATACGCATGCATATGCATGCGTATACACACATGTACGTACAGATGCATGCCTATGCATCCATATACATACAAGTACATACATACACATGCAAATACAATCATATTCAGTCATAAACATGCATGCCCATACACATACACATGCATGCATGCATATGTACAGTCATACATGCATGCCTGCATGCATGTAAACAGACAGACCGACAGACATCTATATATATATATATATATATGCACGTATATGTGTCCTCATATCTATATATATGTATATATACACACATGTAGTTCGCGCGCGGGGCGGCCCCTGGAGTCCCCAGGCGAAAAATCCGGGGCAGGGTCCTGACAAGGTCCCGCCAGAGATGGTTTTGCTCCTGGGCGCCGCCCTCGGGGCCTCCCAGAGAGCCCCAAAAAGAGCCTAGAGACCCCCAACAAGTCATCGAGATGGTCCAAGAGAGCCCCGTGACGCCACAAGATCGCTCCTGGACGCCCAAGATAGCCTCCAAACGGCCCACGAGGCCTCCAAGACGCCCCATGAAGCCTCCAAGAGGCCTCCCGCAAGAGTCCCAAGAGATGTTCCAATGGTTGTTGAAGATTTTCGCGTTTTCGCCTTTTCAGCTTCCCGACGCTCCATCGCGGCCCAAGAGGCCCCCAAGACCGCTCCAAGACGGCCCAAGGTTCTCAAAAGGGCCCCTAAACAGCCCGAAAACAGCCCAAAATCCCTAGGACTGCCCAAGAGGCCTCGAAGACGGCCCAAGAGGCCCCCAACGGCACAGCCGTGAGGCCTCAGGAGGTTTCAAAAACACCGCCAAGGGGCCCCCGTGAGGCCTCACACCTAGAAGCTGGATACACAGCTTGCACCGAAAGACTCAAATCTCCAGACTGCCCCCAAACCGAACATCCACGGAGGACATTCCCCACACTGGCCCAAGCTAAACACCTACATGCCTCATGCACCGCAAAGACCCGCGACAAACCCCCCCCAGTGGCAGCTCAACAGCAACTGCTTCAGCTCGAACGCCGCTCACCACGCACGGCGCCAGAGAAGAACCGCCGCTCAACAGCATCACGTTGACAACGAACACACAGGCCATTTCGGCACACCCCTCACGAGGATCGTGGCCCCATAGGGAGCTCCTCCAAAGGCCCCCAGTGGCGGGGTTCGCATGGCGGCCTCGGGCCATCTCGGCACTCCCCCCATAGGAGCTCCACCGAAGGCGCCAATGGCAGTCTCCCGAGAGCCGTCCAACAGTGTGGGCCAGCGGAATGAGCGAAGCGAATCAATAGCTCCTCCCTCGCACCCCGAGGCCAATCGGAAGGGCGGGCCAGGCGCGTCGCCTAGGACTTCCTTACCACGTATGATCCCGCAGCTCAAAACATGGGAACAGTTGCACATATGGAGAGCGGGTCGCTTCCAAAAAGTTGCTCTCGCCTTAGCGCCGCGCACACTCGTCTTAAAACCACAACAGCTCCACTGGTTGAGTGGCGGGTAGTTTTCAAACTGTGGCTCTCGCCTCAGCTCCGCGCACACTCGTTGTAAAAATGTGCCAAGGGCTTCACGCATTTAGGGCGGTTCCTTTTCAAATTCTGGCTCTCGCCGTAGCGCCGCGCACATTCGCTTTAAACATTTGCAACATAAGTTTTGAGGATGGAACGCGGGTCGCTTCCGATATATGAGAGAGCGTGATCCACCGCCGCTTTACTGTGGAAAATTGCCAACCTTTTCCTCCGGAACCCGGGGGTCCCCCCCCCCCCCCCCTCCGAAAATCCCCCCCCCTCTGCTGGAACCCCTCCCCCCCCCCCTCCCCCGGCAAAACCCCTCCCCTCCCCTTCCCCTCCCCCCGCCCCCCTCCCCCTCGAAAACCGGGGGGGGGGTCACTACGGTTCGAACCCCTCCCCCCCCCCCCGTCCGATCCGAAAACCGGGGGGGTCACTACCGGTTCGAACCCCCCCCCCCCCTCGAAAACCGGAGGGAGGGTCACTACCGGTTCGAACCCCTCCCCACCCCCCCCACTCACCGCCAGCAAACGACTCCCGATCCCTACCACCGTCCGCATCACATCCCCCACTGTTGTTCCCAGCACCACTGTCCTCACCACCACTGTCCTCGCTGGTTCCACCACCGTCCCTACTGTCCCCACCAGTGCCCCCACCACTGTCGCACTGTCCCCACTGTCCCCACCACTGTTCCCACCACGGTTCCACTCTCCCCACTGTCTCCACGGCCCCAACCACTGCCCGACTATCCCCACTGTCCCCACTGTCCCACTGACTCCGCCGCTGTCCCACTGAGCTGTCCCACTGTTCCCACCACTGTCCCCACTGTCCCCACCACTGTCCCCACTGTACCTCTGTCCCATTGTCCCACCGCCGTCCTCGCCACCGCCTTCACCACTGTCCCCACCACCATTGTACCCTCCACTGTCCCACTGTTTCCACCTCATTCCCACTGTGCCCACACCACTGTCCCCACCACCACCGTCCCCACCACTGTCCACTGTCCCCCCTGTTCCCACCATTGTCCCCACCACTGTCCCCACCACTACCGGCCCTCTACTGTCCCACTGTCCCACTGTCCCCACCACTGTCCCGCTGTCCCCTCACCACTGTCCCACCAACACCGTCCCCACCTCTGTCCGCACCCCCACTCGGTTTTCGAGGGGGGGGGGGGGTTCGAACCGGTAGTGACCCCCCCCCCTTTTCATGATGAGCTGGGGGGGGGGGAGGGGTTCGAACCGGTAGTGACCCCCCCGGTTTTCCGGAGGGGGGGGGGGGGAGGGGTTCGAACCGGTAGTGACCCCACCCGGTTTTCCACCAGCAGCGGTAGAACACACTCTTTCCGATATATGGATGTCGCCTGAGTGCCGCTCATATTCGGTTTTCAAACATACAAGAGTTACACGGGTCGAGGGCGGTTGATTTCAAGATGTTGCTCTCGCCTTAGCACCGCGCACGCTCGTCTTAAACTTTTGCAAATGTTTCGCGGACTCCCATGGATGAACGTACCAGAAATGGTGGTTGGACCGATTCAGGAATGCCAGGGCGCGACAATTACGTTGATTCGTGGTGTTGAAATTCCAGGAACGGCGTTCTAGTCTTCTGGCACGATTCAGGATCGTCAAGACGCTGCAACAGGGTTGATTCGTGGCGATGAAGTCCCGAGAATGGTGCTTTGGCACGCTTCAGGATATTCGAATAGTTATCTTCCAACAGTGGAAATGAATTATTGTTGGGGCCATCGAAGAGGGAGCTTGGAGGGAGGGTTTATTCTATGATCGTCGATGAGTCTTGGGTTTGAACTGCCTCCTCCTCCTCCTCCTCCTCCTCCGAAAGTCGACCATGGCCACAAGAGCGCAGGTCAAGGACATTAGACCCTTGGCCGAAGGCCACGTGCCCCATGGAGGTACCCAAAATAGCCAGTGTTGTTCTTAACCCTCGTGCCAGCAGGGAAGGGGTCGAGACCTCTTGTGCCAGCGGATTCGAGCAAGCTCGCACGGCTGGGAGCGCGCCGCCCCACGCGGCCCTTCGGCTGCGCCAGAAGCTATTTCCGCTGATCGCAAGACGAAGATCGATTTTTTGAGTTGATATCAAGCCTCTCTTGGCCTCCTTGGAGCCCCGTGCCGCGGCTGGATCCGCCTTGCAATATCGCCGGCACGAGCCCCAGGACAGTTGTGGAGCCGGGTTTTGCCACCCTTGCAGTCCCGAGGAAGGCGAGGTCTCATTTGGGTCAGGAGAGTGGGGACAGTTGCGCATACGACAGCCCCCGCAAGGCGACGAGAACTCTGGTAGGGTTGGCCGTCATTTCATTTAAGGGTTAGAACGGTTATTTCGGGTCAGGAAAATTCGCTCCCAGCCCTGCCGCCTGAGACATCCTCAGAAAATGCCGGCTGGCTGGTGGGTGGGTTGGCCGGTTGGCTGGTTGGTTGGCTGGCCAGCCGTTCGTTTGTTTGATTGGTAAATTGGTTGGTTGGTTGGCAGGTTGATTGGTTGCTTGGTTCGCTGGTCGTTTGGTTGGTTGACCAGCTGGTTGGCGGGGTGCTCGGTTGGTTGGTTGGTTGGTATGTCGGCCCGTTGCCAGTCCAGCCGCCCGCCAACGCGCCCGCCCCGCCGCCCGCTCATGCGCCCACTCGCCCGCCCGCCGGCCTGACTGCACACCCGCCCGCGCGCACGCCCGCCAGCGCGCCCACACGTCCGCCCGCTCGCCCGCCTGCCTGCCTGCCCGCCCACACACGCGCGCGCTTGTGCGCGCGCCCGCACGTCCGCCACGAGGACGACGGCGGTGACGACGACGACGACGACGACGACGACGACGATAACGATAACGATAAGGATAAGGGTAACGACGATAAGCACGGTGACGAGAAAGACGACGACGAAGACGACGACGACGACGACGAGGACGAGGGCGAGGGCGAGGACGAGGGCGACGAAAACGACAAGGACAACGATAGGGGTGGACTGGTATAGCAGGGGACACATCGACCTGGAATCGGCGACACATCACCGATAGATCTGCGATCGGCTCCCGATAGCGAATGCGCACGTTCCTAGGCGGGGGTGGGGCCATCAGGCCATCGTCGACGATGAATGGGCGATTGGGGGTCGATGCATCCCCCCCTGAGCCTATCTCCGTCCCTGGTGGCTTTCGGGCCATACCTCGGCTCTCCAGCAGTCGTTCGGGCCGGTCCGGGCACCCCAGAAACGCTCTCGGCGAGGCGCAGCCGCTGAAAGGCACCCCGAGGCTGGAAAGCCGCCGAGAACCGCCAAAAAGCTCCAAAAACCTGGCGCCTCGAAGCCTATCGGCGACCAATGGGCGACTGGAGATCGATGCATCCCCCTGTGCCTGTCCTCCCTCTATCGTTGCCGCCGGACAGGAGAGAACAGGTGGCGAGCAAGGGCAGAGAGGGAGCCTCGCGCTCGTCCGCATCCACAGCCATCTGCTCCCCGTTGCGCTGGGGGCGTCCAGTGATCGCGCGGGCGGCGGAAGGGGGGCGGGCGTAAGGCCACCTTTTCCGCCACATTTTCCCTCACTTCTTCCGGCCCCCCTCTCCTGCTATTCCTCATCAACGTCCTCCTCCTCCTCCTCCTCCTCCTCCTCATCCTCCTCCTCCTCATCCTCTCCGTTTTCCTCCTCCTGCTCCTCAACCTCCTCCTGCTCCTCCTCCTCCTCCTCAATCTCCTCCTGCTCCTCCTCCTCCTCCTCCTGATCCTCCTCCTCTGACCCTCTAAGCCCACAAAAGATGTGAGCTTATGAAAGAGATCCTTGCAGAGCTTCTGCCCGAGCAGTCCAGTCTTGCTGGTGGTAGTTGCGGATATTGAAAATGTTTCTCCTCCTCCCCCTCCTCCTCCTTTTCCTCCATCGTCCACTCCCCCTCCTCCTC